AAATGGACTCAGGACAAGGTGCGTTCCTATAAGTCTTCCTACCAATATGACCAATTTGCGAAAACAAGGTTAAACTACTTATATACAATGGAAGGAGACTGCGACCGCAAAAAAAGATTACACCATCTTGGTCTTCATACTTCCAAATTAATATTGCTGACTGAAGGTGTGAAACTCCTGATAAGACGCATAGACTGGACTGTAGCGACTGCCAAAACATGTTTTTGACGGCAGACAATACACTCTAGTTCGCTAAGGCAGTATTGATTGTTGAATTCTGCATGAATGACATGAGTAGATGAGCTTGAGTTTACACAATCACAATCGACTTCAAGTCTATCAGTAAGTCGTGAATAAAAGTTCTAGTCACTCTGGTTCACATAAGGTGATGAAGGATTGAAAGTTGAATTTTCCCACAATGCTACATGCAGGCCAAGAAAGAAACAAAATGCAAAACAAGGCCCTACATTCTCTTTCTTCATGTCCAGCTATTGTCTATACAATCCCTAAACGTCAAATTCTTCTAAATTTTCTCCTTCTTCCCATCCCCTTTTTCGCTCTTCCACCAACCGTAGCTGTTTTAACTCCTTCACGCATAGACACCGGCTTACGATAGACACGTGCTCAAACCAACCGGATCATTTTATTTCGAGGCCCAGATTATTAACACCGATGGTACTCGTCAATTCATAAAGCATCTTGCGTGTCGACTGTCTGGGCTTTTCGAGCCATCTTTATGATGCTACTCAGACCATTCGAGTTGATGTGTGCTAGACTGCTTTGTGTATACACTTGTAAGGCGGTGACAACCAGCGACGAGACGATCAAAAGGTAGAGAAAGAGAGAGAGCGTGAAAATGGGCAAGAAAGAGAGGTTAAAGTCGGTGCAATCAAAACTCAGACAAACCTAGTTCTGGTTTGCAACCTGTGTTCGATAGCGGGGGCCGGACAAGCCATGTTTACGTGTCCGCCCACCCAGCACTGGGACCTAGCAACCTTTGTGACACCAGAAAAGATGATGGCAATGCAAGAGGGTGCGGATGCGAGTGTGGGAAAAGAAGGGGGCAAGATGGTAATGATGATGTGCAAAATCATCCCAAAGTTGCAACATGGACCTTCATGATGGACGCAAGCACGAGATAGGACCGGGTCTTGCGACTTTGGCAAGAACTGCATGATGCCGTAACGCACACAAACGTCCATTCTCGGCCAGCCGAGCCCCCGTGTTCCCCCCTCCACACATCCACACTAACCCATCGTCATATCCCAACAATGCACGTGCATGTGTGCGCTTTCGTCCACATGCCTGTGTGTACGATAGTCACTGCCTCCCCTACCCGATGGCCGACCTAGAGACCAGGCTTGCCGTGTAGGGATGCACGCAAACCTGTCAGATGACGAGGTCTTGCATGAGTCGGGTTGTGTAACCACATGGCAGCATGGTGGCATGGCGACTCCGGGCGGAGAATGAAGAGGGCGGAGAGGGAATTGGCGCAGGAGAGGTACAATCGGTGACTAAGACTTGAAGTGAGAACAGACTGAGAATCACTATGCGGCCTCGGAGGGTACCTTTCGTCGGGGGAGCGGGAGTCCAAAGTAAGCCACTTGGCTCTGGCCAATACACCACGGTCCTTCAACTATCTAGCACGGTACGGAACAATGAGGAAGCCATGCGACCATGGCCAGCGGGGCTCGTCCACTATAAGAAGCAAGTCAGTAGAGTCAACTTTCAATGCTGAATCTCCTGATGTCTTGTCTAAACTTTGGAGCTGTCCCTTTTTATGCTTTCGTCAACCTAAAGGAGAAAGGAGTACAGCTTGTTGAAGGGACACATCTTTTGTTATAGATTTTTTAAGCATTGATGCTTTGATTAGTCTTATTGGAGTGAAGAGAAGGCTTGATTTTTCCACTGACTTTACTTTCACTTTCAATTCAAGATAGTTTTTTTTAATCAAATGTGTAGAGCTGTTTAGTTGGGATTTAACCGGGAACTTCAGAGGTTATATAAAGGTAAGTGTGTATTAGACAATACTCGGCCTCAGCTGGGTGTAGAGACAATAAAGGTAATCAAATCAAAGTAACTGTACAACCTTATTAAAGAAAGTAACTGTGTTTTCCCTGTACATGTCGAGACTAGACGCTGAGCTACAAAAGTTCGAATCCAGTTGAGGATACTGATGAGATTTATGCGGAGTTGAAACTGCAGTCGACTCCTCTTTGGAAGCAAGGCTTTGCGAAATTTAACGGAAACGTCATCATCAGCTTAAACAAAATTTAAGAATAGTCTTGAAAGTCTACTTACAAACGAAAATTGATTAAACCTATAAGTCTTCACATAGCTAAGAGGACTTTCAATTCAGTGGAAGGTGCCTGATGAAGAGAGTCCTTATGTTGTTCGATATTATCAGAAGACAAATCCAGATTCCCGTTGCCCTAAAGTCGTTTAATTGTATAAGGCGTTAAGGCTAACGTCATCAAAGATACATCTTTCTTTGGTTCAAATAAAAACGGGCTTA